TATTAAAATTATTTTTGAAAAAAGCTTTAAAACTAGAATGATTAACTTTATTTAAAGGAATGTTAGTTGCGACCATCATCTGACATAATTCAAATTTAAAATTGTCTTCCTGCGTTTTTTTGCACAGCCTAAACTTTCTCTCAGAGGAGTTTGAAACAATCTAGTCGAGTCAGCCTGTTCAGTATTCCTTTTATGAAGAGGCGTTCCACAATGTTGATCAATAAAGTACTTTTTAATACATGAAATCTGGAAATTAAACATAATAATAATTAAAAATTCCACTTTGAAAAATTTTAAAATTCAATTCAATTCAATTCTTTCAATTCTAATGTACCTTTTATGGAATGAATGCGTCATTCCAATGAATCTGAAAGAAAGGAGATTAAAGAGAAGTTTCAATGATTAAAGCAATTATATTGTATTCTTGAGATTTGCTGTCGGACTAATCACTATTCTGAATCGTTTATCAAATTTTAGAAGCACAAAATTGAAAATCATTTTACATTATTGTAATACTCAAATGAAATTTAATTTAAAGAAAAACTTCGAATGCAAAAAAGAAAGTGTGTAGACAGTATTTTGAATAGTCTTGCAAGAGCTGATGGCATATATTTTTCTAAGAATCATCTGTAGATTGTGCATAATAGTTAGTTGTTTTGTTGGAGGCCAAGCAAATGAATTCCTTAGAATTTAATTACTTGATTTTCCTCCCATCTTTTTCGATATTTGTGTAGTGGATTTTAGTGCTAACCAACAACAAAAATTGGTGCAATAACAATAAAAGCAATTTGTGGTACTAGAATTTCTTTGAAGGAAAAAAGAGATGATGCCTTAAAAAGTGTAATATCAAAACGTTGTAAGATTAATGCAAATTTATAGGGGATACGTATCAGTAATATTTTTGGTCAAAAGGCATGGACTGATGTGATTTGGTTTACTTAACACTTGCAACATAATTGGAATGAAACTAGAAACAAAATTAATTTATCACTGACAATAGTTTTTCTGACTGTGCATCTCAGGCATGTACACTGGAAACGTGAATCGCCAGTTTCGCCTTAAACCAAGCTAAAAAGATGCCCCCGTAAAAATACTAGCAAATATTACTTGCCAAACCCTCAATTAAAATTTGTATGGATTGAATGTAATACATAAATTTTATTAATATTGACCAATAAAATTATAACGCTGACGCATTTATAAAAAAAAAGTTCCCATAAACAATCTCCGAAACAGGTCAAGTCACGTTCTGCCACAGGCCACAGTCTATAACACGTACATTACCGCCTTTCTCACTATTCCACGTGCTCGTAAGTACCAGTTTTATCCATTTTTATTCAAGACATATATTTCATAAAATTTGTTCCGAAATTATGGCAACTAAAAACTTTTTTTATTGTAAGTTTGTTGTCGATTGTCCTGTTTCAAAAAAATGTTTTTAAATTATCTTGAAATATTAGCACGGAAAACTCTCCGAAAAGTAGCGCAATTTGCGATAAATCGCCCAATCTGTTTGTGTGTTTTGTTTAATTGCTTCAAATGGGCGATTTGGCAACTTGGCGATTTTTGGCGACACCGCCATTTCTCACTCTGGTCACCCTGATAATGAACTGGACGGAACAAAGTGCCTCTTTCAGTCTTGGAGCCAAAATAAAAATATGTTTCCGGAACTTTCTGAATTAGCTCAAATGTATTTAAGTATTCCTGGAACGTCTGTTCCGCCAGAACAAATTTTCTCTAAGGCAGGACAATTAACTAATGTTCGACGGAATCGCTTACTGCCCAAAAATTTAAATCAGATTATTTTTTTAGAAGGTTTTTATTCGTAGTCATTTTTTTGCCTTTCATCAATTAATTATAATTGATTTTGTTATTTGCTAAGTTCATTACGAGCTTTACTTATCTATTCAATATTTTTGTTCAAAATACCTACCCATTTTTTATTAAGTTTTCATTTTCGAAATGATGTGTTCTTATTTTTTGTATTACAGTATAATTTTGTTTCTGGACGAAAAAACTTAGTTTTTGAAACACGT